CTTAAAATGACATTTACTTTATAAAATGATACAAAGAGTATCAAAGACGAAGAGATTACCACTGGAACTATCTGCTTCCTCCATTGGGACCACTGATCACTGAAATCAACAACAAAAAAAAATACCAATAATTATTTCAACATGAAAACTACGTGCATGTTTAATTTCGCACTATAGAACATGGGTTAACATGATTTTGAGCAAAAAGATCATTTTTTACGTATCAAGTTAATCCAACAAAGAAATAAAAAAGAGAGAAGCAACTCTACATAGAACCAAAATAAATCATCAACATTTTCCAGAAATGGTCAGTTAAACAAACAGTAAAATGACTTACACTTTAATAGCACCCAACTTAAAGAATGGAAGAAGCAGACGAAAATTTTAAGGGTTTTTTTGGGATTTTTTCTTGGCAGACGGGTTTCTTTTTGGTGGAATGTGGAGAGGTTCTTGAAGGTGATTGATTTGTTAACAGTCAGATAATTTCATATTTTCCATTTTTTAAAATTGTCATTTTTTGCTCTTTTCGGCGTTGGCCCACAATTCAACGTGGGGGTGCTATATTGCGCAGGGTGCGCATCCTAAGATATAGGTGGACGCTAATAAAACATTAAATAATAAATAAAATTAAATGAGTTATTTATATTTAACTTATCATCAGTTATATAAAAAGCATTTTTTTTTTAAAGAATGTGGTTAAAAACGTGAAGAAAAGTTTAGGATTTATTTATAAAATTATATTATTAAAAGAATTTATGATTAAAAATGATTTTAGGAAAAAACTAAATTTTAAATAATAAGACTCAATCAAGGTTTCAAGTTATACTGCATTTTTTTAGATGCTAAAATATATAATTTTTTTTTTTAAACAATGAGTATTTATATCTTTTAGGTCCCGAGATTTTGGATATCTTGCGTGAAGCTCTAAAAGAGTGAAGTTTGACGTTGAAATGTTCCAGTCACTAAATCATTCACTTATTAATCGGCTTCCTTTTATAAATCTCTAAATAATTTGTAACAAAAAAAAATAAAATGTATAAAGATCTCAAAATTTGTCATGGTCTATCACGTTTCTCACCATTTGATAGTAACGAGTAAAAAAGTTGAAGAGAAACATCTAGAAATATTAAATTTAGGACCCTTTGCTAATGAAAATTGTAGGACATAGTATCAAGATTATCCCATGTTCCAGGATTATAAATGTTGGAGGGAGGAGATCTATTCTCAGTTAACTTAATTACATATCCATATATATTAGTTTCCTTGTGTACTTTATCATCAACATATTGTTTGGGAGATTTTTTTTAAAATTTCCAAAATCATTTTAATCACACATTCCATGTGACTAGTAACTTTTTTTTTCCTACTTTTCAAGTACAGATTTTTCAAAATAATAAATATATATATATATATATATATTTTTTCACTTGGAAAAATCTCACCCGAACAAAAGCTCTTTTTTATTATCAAACGAAAATATAAAGAAATTTAATAATGTCAAATATTCGAGGAATTATTGCACTTTTGATAATTAAATCCCTAAATAATAATTTAGATAAGTTTAATTTTGCTCAATCCTATGAACGGCGTTAGTCAAGTTTTCGATTTGGTTGGCATTTTTCCCGTAGAAGATTCTATGACATAACTCCTTGTGAAACTGTCAGGGATATTCACATTTCGCATTCTTGTCCTAGACCCGTTGCGGCTCCTTGAACTTTTATTTTGACTAATTACTTCACAAGGAAAGACCCTCCTTCTAGTGTGAAATTATTGGTGTCCAAAAGTGACGTGACACCTCTCGATTCAACTTAAATGAAATTAAGAAAATCTGGAATGTAGCTAGGTCGAACTTATGCTTTGTCTGAGCTCAAAGGTAGGTATGTAAGCGTAAAAGTGTGTTGTTGAAAGAAAATTTGAATTCATGTGTTAGATGAAAATTGGTCCTCTTTTATATAGGGGAGGAAATGAGGAATTACGGCTATCAACCCCTTGGGTCATTCCTAGCTACAATAGCAATCCCGATTAATGTGCCACTCGTCATACCAGGGATTTTGATTGGTGGATCAAGGTGGCTTCTATATCAATAGAAGTATGAAATATATAAAAATATTGTATAGCCTTAGAATTTATATTAGAATCCCACATTGCTCGAAAAAATATAAATGATCCACTTAATAAGGTGAGGGCAATCCTCCCCTAATAAGCCGGTTTTATTAGGTAGAGTTAGACCCAATATTCCTAACGTGGTATCAGAGCTAGGCCCAATTATGTAATGTTGGGTGCCACCCAATATCGATTTGTTCACAGTTGTTTGGCATGGTCCCCCCTGTGCGTGAGGGGGCGTATTAGAATCCCACATTGCTTGGAAAAATATAAAAATTGTTTGAGAAAATATAAATGATCAACTTAATAAGGTGAGGGCAATCCTCCCCTAATAAGCCGATTTTACAATTTAGAAGAAATAATACTCGTGATCATGTACAGTCGTACCCTCTACCACAATAACCAAGATCCTAGATACAATCAAAGTGAGAAAGCTCATATAATAGAATACAAATTTATACTTATAAATGATATACAATGTAACAACAATATCTATACAAACAGTATACTACATGTGAGGAAAAGTGGATTATACATAAGATAAAACAAAAATGTACTAATTGATGAGAATCGAGATCTCTAGGTATAACTGGATCGTAGAATGAACAAGATTTTAGCTTATTCCTCCCTCTTCTTCAATGTTGGATGCTATGTAGTTATTTACAGTCCATCTGATAAGACGAGCTAATATTGCTTATCGGCCACTGAGAGCAGAAAAATTTGCACGTATAGCAGTTTCAGAGTGATTACTAATGGCTGGAACTTCAGC